TCATGATGTAAAACACATTTAAGGAAATGGATGCCTAAAGGACTCTGGAGGACTCTGAAGCATGCCATACCCACCACTGTCCTACAGGGTAGGTCAGCCATCACTCACATGGACGAGGGAGGTGGGGTCTTTGTGTTGCTCCCACTATCTGGCCAGCACACAGTCTGTCTGAATCCTGAGCGGTAGAGCAGATGCGCCTGGCATCCACATTGTGGCTCATGCCCTCAGTCACCTAGAGCCTGCTAAAGTCTATGTGGACACCTGGCCATTGGATAAAGGGATAGACAGAAGGTATGGTTCACCTCTTGGGTTTGCTCCAACAAGGTCTCCTCACATAAACTTTGCTCACTGTTGAGGGTGTGGAAGGCATGCCACTGAGGTCCAGATACCCAGGAGTCTGGGGCAGAATGAAGGCATGCATTCAAGGCTGGCTGCTGCTAGCATTATGGAGAGACTATATACAGGACTCTTGCTTGCTAGACCTGACAGCAAAGGCCTGCCATCTCAGCTACTTGGAGGGCTGAGACAGGAGAATAATCAGTTCAAGGTCAGCCTGGGGAGCTTGGATGCTTTTTCAAGAAGTAAATAGAGGGAGGGCTGGGAATGGAGAAAACTCAGAGTCAAGAGTTCTTACTCAGAGTGCACAAGATCCTGGATCTGTCTCCAGCAACATGGACACACACATGCACATGTGGACACATACACCTGCCCACCAATTCTGCAGCCAATTCAAGCAGTCTACCCTGCCTTACAACTTTTGCTCACTTCCAAAGGCACTTAGGGTTATGAGATGGCTCAGCAAATAAATCCTGAAGTTGAGTTCAGTCCCCAGGACTGACATAGAAGGAGAGAACAGACTCCTATAAGTTGTCCTTTGACCTCCACAGGCAAGCTGTGTGTTTTGTGCACTACACACAAACACATAGTTTTTTTTTTTTTAATCGTTTTTCCTAAGAGTTCTGTTAGAATTTTGTCTACAGGCAAAATTGTCCCTTCTTTTTCTCTGTCCACAGACTTGTCAGCCAGGTGGTGGAACTTTCCTCCCAGGCCAGTAAAGAAGCAGCTTTGACAAACCAGGAAGTCTGGGAAGAGACAGAGGCCACCCTCACCAGCAGCCAGTGATACTTCAGTCCAGAAGCCTGCAAGGGACCATAGTCTCCATCTGGGACAGGACGGATTACAACAGGCCTGACCCTTGGTTGCCTCAGGCAGCCAGTGCTTCCTGAGGATTTCCTAGCTGCCTTTTCTGTTCATCATTGTGTATTATTGCAGTAATAAAAAACCTAACAAAAACATATACCATTTTATCTCTGTAATCAATAGCAATTAAAATTGTTCTAGAACAGTCCTCAGATTAAGACGTCAGATCCATGATCTTCCATGCGATGTTTTCATCCTGAGGTTTTGCTTTGCTACAAATGGTTCTGGGAGGGAATCAGTGATACCTACCACAGAGTAAACTGGTTTCTAAGAATCCATTTTGGAAAAAAAATAGCTTAGGTGAGCATGGGAACATGCAGTGGAAGGGGAAGAAGCAGAGAACTCCGAGGATGTGGCTGACTGTGCAGCATAGCTCCTCCACTCTCTAGCTCTGTATCTCTGAGAGAACTTATGAGCAACTTCTACGTGCTTCTGCGAATCTCTGAAATCATGATAAAAATAATAGGGAAGCAATCTCAAGGTGTCATCAAAGTGAAAAATCAAATATATTTTCTCTACTTCATGACTCATTCGTAATCTACAAATGTTTGCTATCATCATTTTATAGTGAAATAAAATTGAGTGCTAGAGAAAGATATTAGGAAGGGTTTGAGTACTTAGGAATGCCACAAGAATATGAGTTTAAACATTCAAAGAAAATAGAGGAAATCACACATGCCCATTTTTTCACTGTATTGACATGCAAAGCAATTCAAATGATTATTTTCCAAATGGACCCTGATGGATTCATATCAAGATGACCACTGTGCAAGTTAGTAACTGTATTGGTGCTTTTAAAAATGTTTGTTTGTTCAGTTTTGTAAGCTGAACACAGGCTAGAGTTATTTGAGAAGAGGGGACCTCAACTGAGAAACTGCTTCTATCAGATAGGCCTATGTGCAAGAATCTGGAGACATGGAGACATGATTCATTTATTTTTTGTTAATGATTGATTTGGATGGGCCTACTTCATGGTGGAGCAGTGTAACAGTTGGGTGGTCCTGAGTTATATAAGCAGGCAAGTTTAATAAGCCATGAGAAACAATCCAGTCAACATTTTTCCTCCATG